CCCAGGAGGGCCAGAACACGCCACCAGTGAGACATACCAGGGGCATCTTCCCCGAAGATGGCCCGCCCTGCAGCTCCCGCCATGCAGCAAAATCTGCAGAACCACAGTTTAACTTGCTGTTTGTTCAGAATTGAGCAATTCAGTTTGTCGATTTACCTTTGAGGGCAAGGCTCCTAGATTTCAGCTAATGTTAAAGTTTTAAACATTACAGTGTATTAATCTTGCTTTAATTTAAATATGCCAGGGTTTCCACTTTCAACTGAAGAGTTCCCAGTCTTCAATTTAGTTTCACAACTTTTCTTTGAGTTGGTTTTCTCCTCATTTATGTTTCATAAACAAAGTTTTGACAAATGAAATGCTAAGCTTGTTGGATCAAAGCAAAAAAATATGATTCTTGGACATTATAATAAAAACGAAGTTTGAAAACCCAAGCTCAAAGATCAAAAGTAGAATTACCCAGTAGTATTATACAGTAATACTAAATACTAAAAGTAGTATTATACAGAATTAAAATAGCTTTTTCATAACATACGGTGGACTTACCAATAGGACTGTAGTATCATATTTCTGCATAGGCACAACATGTCAGTGGAAAAATTGCTATTGAATCAGATGCTTTGTCAAAAAAAAAAAATCTGTTGCAAAATTAACTATATGATGACAAATTATTATGTATGAATTTCCAGCTATGTCCTGCCCGTCTGTCTTGTCGATTCTAAAATTATATCCTAAGCAAATTATTGTCAGTTTTTAAAAATCTGTTTTACCTCTTTTATTTAGAGGTAAATCTGTTATATTCCTTTGTATTTTAGCTTATGAAAAAGTGAAGGCTCTAGAACAAAGAGGAGTATGGGTAGTAGTCTCAACATGAGAGAAAGACTTTACATAGTATCTTACCTTATATTCATAGGCACCTGGTAGAAGCCACAAACATGCAAAATGACACAAGTACATAATTCATGTTGCGCAATAGTGTCATTGACATATGTGCTGTCACCCTCATTCCCACAGATTCTGGTGCTTAGGAAATGTCCTCGCCTGTTGAAATAATGTTTCTGGACCAAATCTATCTCCTTTTATAGCATATTTGAGTTTATAATTTTATGACTCTTTGCTTGAAAGTTTGCCAGCATTTTACATCTTCTTGTTCATTCAGTTGTTGTCAAACCTATATTAAAAATAGGTTGTAATGCATATAAAAATGGTTAATGATATAGTTTGATATGCCTGTCCAGGTGATCGATTTAGATCAGTAATTGATGACGCCTGGTGGTTCGGAACAATAGAAAGTCAAGAACCTCTTCAGCCTGATTATCCTGATAGCCTGTTTCAGTGCTACAATGTCTGGTTAGTATGTTTGTAAATACAGCAATATTTATTTTCTCCTGTTTTTAAAATTCAAGTGCATTTAACTGTAAACTGATTAATGTCATTATTTGATACCTACTGTTTAAAATTGGGAAAATGTATTATCAATAAATATTTGGATAAATAATACTGCCCAAAATGTTTTTTTATCTTTTTTTTTTCTTTAAGTTGGGACAATGGAGATACTGAGAAAATGAGTCCATGGGATATGGAGCCTATTCCAAACAATGGTATGTGTCTACTTTCTCCTAGATGTACAGAAAAGGGATACAGAACTTACTATGTGCAGATGTGATAAACTGGAAAGCTGATTATGCTGTAAAAGAAGAGAGAACTAGTTTTGGTTAGTGAAATGACTGTTGAATGAATTTGGGAAAATTCAGTAATTACATTTTGTTTAATGCTTCTGGTTTTCAGGACTGTTGGGTTTCATTGGGCCAAAGGTATTGTGAACTCTTTAGAAGTAGTAGGAGGAAAGCAATAATGTCAATTGTTAAGTCTCTTTTTTGTTTCTTTAGATTAGCATGGTTTACAAATTGCCTAAAAGGTGTGAAAAACCACACTTATGAATGGACTGGGGTTATTAGTTAAACCAAAAATTGCATGTCCTGTATTATCTTTATCTTCATAACAGCATGTGGTGAACCTTCCCAACTTTGTTGTTGGAGAATGAAAAAGAATTGTTACACTTCTGCCAGGATACTGTCTTCAGTTCCAAAACTGTGAGGGAGGTTGGCCATTTGCCTTGGCAAATATGACAAGTGAAACATAGAAACCTGTTCATAAATAGATCACTAATTAAAGCAATATCTACATTTTTATAGAAAGAATCCATTATTCAGTAGCTCATATGTATAAGTGTGGGAACTATTGTTATAAAGGAGCAGTGGTTCATTATATTTCTAAAGAATACTTTACATTTATTTAATGTTGGGAGATGTTGCTATCCTCTTTCCCAACTACATTTCTTTTTTGCCTGCTATTATTATGCGTCAGGCATAGCTATTAAGGGATCTTTTTTACTCAGAAATGATGAACTGAATTTGGCCTAAGGATCAAATCCAGCTCCTGTGGGACCATAGGAATATGATAACAACCTTTGATGTCATTTAAACTTCAATCCTTGATATTTATTTCTCTGGAGAGGTCACAGGGAGCCATTGCTCCCCATTTTCTCTCTAGAGAAATTTGATTTGCATGTGCCTTCTGCAAGTGGGGAAGATGTGCTGCAGAAATCTAGTTCAACAAGAATCTCCCCAATCAGGTAAGTTGTTAGACAGATCTTGCAGGCTTTGCACAGCATATACATTACCTTTCCCATGTTGCTTCTGCTAGGAGCCACCCATCATGATTCTTGATTGGGAAATGAGTAGGGAACTCCTGCAGATTTCACATAGTGAGTAAATTACCAAGTAGAGAAACACACAAACTTGCTCAGCCAGAAACACCTTGTGTGGTCCATTATTAGGAACAACACTGGGCAATCTCTCCTTCACCCATGGGAGAGTAAGTTTGGGTTTGGGTAAAGCAGATCAGATCCTGCAGAGAACAGACAAAATCTGGAAGCCATAGCAATTGTGTAAGTGTGGTTTTGGAGATGAGAAAGTGCTTCAGTTGGGCTGGGCTGGGCTGGGCTGGGCTGGGCTTGGCTGTCCTGACAAAGTGGAGATCCTCTTTCTCTTGCTATGAGAGACTAGGAGTATTTTTAACCTCTTAAACCAAAGTCTTCAGTACCTAAAACCAGATGCCAAACTTTTTAGCAATACTGTTTAACATATTTGTTTGATATTGGGATAATTTGTTCAGGTATATTTCATTCTGTAATTACTACCTTGTAAAGCATACATATTTTAAAATGTAAATACATAGCATAATTTGTATAGCGTTTAACTTTGTTGTTGCTCTAGTTTAAAAAAAGCATAGTTAAGTTTTAATTTAGGAAGGGACAGTTTCCTGCTTCAAGGCCACATGCATCCTAAAACTCCCATTTTCCAGTCTTTGAGGCTCCCTCTAGTGGCAACACCATTTTTCATGGCATAGTGTGGAATATCAACAGTGCACTTTATATCCCACAATTTTGAGTGGGAAAGCATGCAATTTAACTCTTCAATCCATGCTCAAAACATATTAACTGCATTAATCCTTCTCAAAGTTTCCCACCTTTATTTTAACATAAAAGGGTTAGTTTAAATTATACGTTAATGGAAGAGGCTGGATAAGGGAGGGAGGGAGGGAGGGATGGATAGATATAATGATATATATAGATCTATGTATGCATTATCTATATATATATAGAGAGGGAGAGAGAGGGATAATGCATATATAGAATGCATTATTGTAAATGCATTTACAATAATTATTTCTATAACTTGGCTGTTCTTGAAATAATATTGTGCTCAATATTAATTATGGCATTGTATTTTCTTAATTGCTTATTTTTTTATTAATAATTATATTGCTATTATACCTCATGCTTTATTTCAGCTGTGTTTCCAGAGGAACTTGGAACTAGCGTTCCTTTAACTGATATTGAAAGCAGATCTCTAATATACAAACCTCTGGATGGCGAATGGGGTTCCAGAACTCGTGATGATGAATGTGAAAGAATAATTTCAGGGATAAATCAGCTGATGACTTTAGGTAATAATTTTAGTATGGAAGAAGCAACACACAAAAACACACCTCACATGCACCAGATCTCTAAATAAATGTTTCAGTATGAACACTTTCAAATCAAATTTAACTCCTGCTAACTTACATGGATGATATTCATGCAGTTTTCTTTGCATGATGAAGTGGTTTGCAATTGCCTTCCTCCAAGATCTAACCTACATCCCAATGTAGCCTTCATCCCTGGAAGTTTGTCCCATCCAAGTACTGGCCAGGGCTAACTCTGCTGAACTTTGTAGATCACCAAGGTTGGCTAAGTGCTACCACCTGGGTGAGCAAGTAACAATTTTTCTTGTCTCAGTTATAAAATCTAAATTTGGCTTCTATGTCTAATTTCTTATTGAAATCACTTACTGAAGTAAAAATTATAATCATTTTTAGGACACATTTCCATTATGGTGATCACTTTTATGCAGAATAATGACATTCATGAGACACTTATTAAAATTCAGATATTTGCACTGGTCATTAAATATATGTTTGCTTAATGCTTTTGTTGCTTCAACATTTATTTATTTATAAAAGCATTGTTTTTCTGAAATCTAATAACATTTTATTGTAGATATTGCTTCTGCTTTTGTGGCACCTGTGGATTTCCAGGCTTATCCAATGTACTGCACTGTTGTTGCATACCCCACTGACCTCAGTACAATTAAGCAGAGACTGGAAAATAGATTTTACAGGTTTGTTCTAAGTTCATTTTATTCAAATGTTGCTTATGCCATTTCCTGTTTTATATAAGTTAAAACATTTATGATTGGTCTACAGCACAGGTTAACTACTATAATATTTGCTACAATATCACTTGGGAGTATTCTTGACCTTGTATTTAATATTTTTTATTTCCCATGTGATTTAGCTAGTATCCATTGATCTTAAAAGTGATGTTCTGAAACTGCTTGAAAGTTGAAAATCGGTAGAAGGCTGTTTCAGTGATTCCACTAAAACTCTAGAATTTCATTCCTAGGGAAGCCTGTTGCATTTCCTCATTAATGACTTTCCAAAAGCTGATGAAGACCAGTAATTTTAATATGTTCTTTTAACTTGGTTTCCCTTCCAAGTGTCTTCAGTATGTTAACTTATATTACCAGGTTATTATCCTGAAACTGGTTTTTGCCTTAAGGTTTAGTAAAGAATGTTTATTAAATGGTAAACAATGTATTTGAATTGTAAAGTCTGTTATTGCTTGTTTGCTCCCCTAACCTTCCTAGAGGAAAGCTGGGTTAAAATGTTTTAAGGCACTTCATGAATTTTATAACTAATAGTACTTCAAGGACACTTGAAGTTGTTTATATTTGCACATATGTTTCTTCTTGTGGCTACCAGAGAGAAGGGTTTTAGTGCTGGTACTTCAGATAGGGAATATTCTCAGTTTACCAGACACCTGCTTTATTGTCTTTTCAGTGCACATTTTTCATTGCAAACTTTTTATTTTCAAATTTTGTTCTTTCAGTTTTTATGTTTTAGGAGTTTTCTAATGATCTTGTATGTCTGGGGAATAAGAGCAATATAAAGACACTCTAAATAAAAGCATATAGCTACATTTTACCTGGATTTCCTAGTTTCTACAGTATGTAAATAAAACTGTACCCATGTTCTAGGTTTTTGGTAATGGAAGGGAAACAAAATAATTTATTAAAGATTTGTGTCATGGATTACTAAAATTGTTTTCAAAGTTACAACAGTGTAGAATTTCCAGTGTATAGTAATTCTGCTAATGCTTTAGCTTGCATTGATTTTGCACACACTCGTGTTATTTATATCACAAGCATTGTCATTAAGCATTGCAAATTATTTGTATTTTTTTTAATTTCAAAGGCGACTTTCTTCCCTTATGTGGGAAGTTCGGTATATAGAATATAATACACGGACATTCAATGAACCAGGAAGTCCAATTGTCAATTCTGCCAAGTTTGTCACAGATCTCTTGCTGCACTTCATGAAGTAAGTTAATAAAGTTCAGAGAACAAATTTTAATAATACATTTTAATTTGTGAGATATATATATGTATGTATTTATAGTTTATAATATTTATGTTTACAAAGGAGAGAATGCACTGTTAACTATGCTAGTGAATACTTTGGGTATATTAGCATTTGAAATACTTGCAGACAGGTAAACTAAGGTAATTCATGCCAGGCCTTAATCAAAGGCATTTCTGCTTCAGATTTCTCTCTCACAGTCAAGTTCAGAGCCTCAAGAGATGAATTCTTGTCCCCTTTCCTCCAATACTAGAGAAAAGGGAAGGGATAGATACTGCTATTTATTCATTCAATAGGCTCCCTTGACTCTTTAATATACTCACTATAATCAAATAATTACTTGGTGGCTGTCCATGATCAATAACCAAGACTGTTATACAGATTATTCCACTTCCATCACTATAACTGAATGAATACCAACTGAATTGGATCACATCTTTGGCTTGAGAGATCTAGTATGAATTGCTATAGTAGTATGCTTTGTCTTCTTGATGTTACAGGTTAATGTTTTGTCACAAGTTCTTCACTGAATTTCTTACACTCAGCAGATTCGTTTTTTGGTGTAGCACAGGCCCAACAGACACACAGTACCTACACTACTGTTCTTCCTGCCCTTAAAGCACAACTTTCTGAGGCCATCTCTATATTACACCCAGATACATAATGACTATTGCTCTTTGCACTCTTATTTAATACACTATTTATCATATTGATGAATAGTACCAACTCAGGTGAAGGATGAAGATGCTGCCTAGTGAAGCATTTCTTGAACTTCTTGAATCAGTAAGTTGCACACATTTTCCACAACTGGATGCAAATTTGCAAATAGTTCATCTTTGCTGCTCCTACAGCCACTTCAGCTGTTCACTTCACTTTTCAATATTTGTAGCTCAATAAAAGTTGGTAATGGCAGATCAAGCTTTAGGTGGAGTAACTGCTTCTTTTGTCCCCTATTCTGAAGGACTGATAGCCTTCAACTCTGTAAGTTATGCATACTATGAATCATATGCTTTGGGGCATAATGAATAATTAGATATTGATGAATTAACTCCTGGCTTTTTTTCTTCCTCTCCTGAAGTAGCTTTCATTTCTTCACAGGAGGCAGCTGTTAGAGATTAAAACCCATTGTTGTCATCAGAAGACTTCATGTATGTCTTAGTAAATACGAAGAATCCATTTGGATTCTGTCTTCCATCACATACTAGCCAGTGTGTCCATGTCAGTGGCATGAAAATGAATTTATGCAAATGTGTTAATAAGCTGTCTTCCATTCTATTTAAATTAAAAATTATCAAGAACTTTATCACATCTCCAAATTTCGTGACCCTACCCTCAATAGTGTCATCCCCAAGCAACACACTTGTAGCCAGTAAAAATAGCATGTTATTCCCATGGGTAAGGTCAGGAAATAAGAGTAGTAATTTGCAATGTGTAAGGAGCTCATTAGTATACTATTTCCAGGTTGCAAATTACCAAGCTTACATGATTAGATACTAACGTGTTTCCTTCTGTAAATTCAGTAATACAGACAAACTTGCTAAGATATATACAGAAACTTAAATACTGCTTGCCACACTGAGAATTGCATTTCTAAAATGAAGGCCATTTCTGTAGCTTTCCACATGGTGACATACTTACGAAGCAAGACTGCTTATAGATCTGCTGTACAAAGATGAAGGTTCATTAAGTATACAGGACTGATATTTTTCTAAATTGGGTTGCCAATAGAAGTACAAACTATTGGGATCCAAAGAAGGTAAGAATACTTTGGATCTGGCATGGCACCCTCTCTCTACTTTCAGCAGCTCCTTAAGGAATTTTTTTTTCTTGGGTTTGCAGGGTAGCAATGCAGCCTCAGGAAATAATGTGTTTGATTTAAAGAGGCTATGACAGATAGACCACAAGGTTTTTCTGTTACTTGAAAATCACATTTCTGACTCTTACAAGAAGAATAGCTGATCAGCCAAGCAGTGGCTTTGACTACTGTCATTCCATAGTGGAGACTGGAATGTTTGTTTGTTTTTTAAGTTACATTGGTCTCCAGAATTATAGACAGTCTTCAGACTAACTCCTATAGCTTTTAAATAAAGCTTTTTTTTAAGTTTGTTTTTGCTTAAAGTTTTGCTTAAAGTTTTGATATCAATCAGGTGCTTCTTTTACCATTCTTTCCTAAACTCAGAAATTTCTTTATATGCTCTTAATGTTAGGTCATAGTATTTTATCTTCATAGGACTTCTACCTTTAAAATGTATAGATATTTCTTTTTTTGTTAAAAGGGATTATGAAAAAAACCCAGTTTATTTTCACTGTTTGTCAAAGAGAAATCTTGCTACTATTTCCATTTGCTAAGCAAATACTTCTGAAGATCATTCCTAGTTACTTTGGCAATATTATTAAGGGTGTCCTGCTACTGGAACTCTTCATACTTGCCACTTGGTTGTTATTGGCTTTGTTCATTCACCGTTATTGATTGGATTTTTGGTACCATAAGAGTACCTCTCTTGGAAGGACTGTGCCTTATTTAGTCATTAGTTAGTACCTATCTCTCAATTACGTTCTAAACAAATATGAAGACTTGGTTACTTCTCTTTGGTTGTGTCTTTTGGTGATTGTTTGCAAACTCAGAAATAGCCTGCTGCAGGTATATTAAATCCCTTTTTGTTTGAAAAGTTATTGAAATATAGTTTTTTTTTTTTTTAAATGCTGTAGTACACTGGAGTAGAAAGATACCCTATACAGTAGTGGATCCAAATAAGTCCATTAATCTATGGTATTTGTATTGAACAGGGATCAGGCTTGTTATGATATAATCCCACTCTATAATACCATGAAGAAAAAAGTGTTGTCCGATTCAGAAGAGGTAAGCTAATTCAATATGCAATACATTTTTAAAAGAAAGTGGTGATTTTGTTCCTATATTGTATAATCTACTTTTCTGTTTTTCAGCTCAGTATTGTCACCTAAAATTGTTATTGATAATAGAAATAAAATACAAAATTTCAATGCAATATAAAATGCTATACTGGAAAGATGTCTTTAGATGAGAATGCCAATTATTTGTCCGTTATAAATATATATGCTTATTTCCATATATAGCTGTCCCAAATCTGGTACAGGTAGTCCTTGTTTAGCAACCATAGTTGGGACTGGCAACTCTGTCACTAAATGGAAAATCACGTGACTGTGCTTATGATTTTACTTCAGCTTTCCTTTTTCCCCACTCCCCCCATCCCTTGGAATGCTCACTCTATAATTAACAAGAAGGGAATTAATGTTTGTATTTACATTCATTGGAGAGGAAGCGATTACAAGAGAGTAAGCAGGCACACGCTGGGAAATATACATAGAAGGGAATTGAGCTAGCACCGACTGCCTAGTGCACTCCTACTTAGGAGGCAAACAAAAGCCAAAGGTGTGAAAGTGATTTAAGTCTTGTCAGTTACAGGCAGCAGCTGTGAGCTGGCTAATTAAGGTCACAGAGCTGAGCTTGTTAACTTGCCATTAGCATATATTGGGTAGGTGCTGAGGAGGAAAACCACTCAGGAAGAGTTTGCTTGTATAATCAATCTCTCTGTTCTGTGAGATGGAGAAAAGAAAAAAAAATGGGTCAGGCACAGGACAACTTGTACTAATTAACTGTAGTGGCAAACATGTGACTGAGAGAGAGATGCTACAAAGGTTGTAAACGCATGCCTTGTTGCAAATTTATTTTTTCAGCACCGTTGTAACTTGTAACTCGTGTTGCTGCACGAGGAAGTCGGTAAGCAGCAAATCGGTAAAACCTGTATTACTTTCGTAAGCTAAGTATATGAACCCTAGGGATACTGTCTGCAAGCTGATTTCAGGCAATCCCATCATTCTCAGATACAGAGTATAATGTACATAAAAGCCACATCAGTTTGGAACAAAATACAAACATATACAAAGAAAAGATTGAGCTGAGACTCAAATTAATACAGACATTTGTAATAATCTTAAATTTTAAAATAATGATTGATTTTGTAGCAATTCCTTAAGGTTGTCTATAAACATTTTTAAAATAATTTTTTTTTAATCATAGAATCTTTGTAACTCAGAAATGGCTTTAATTTGGCATATGATTTTTAAAATTGGCCCTATAGCATCCCAGAGAGTTAATATTGAGATTGTTTATATATGATTACAAGTGGAAGAAACCTTCTGAATGTTTATTATAAGGCTGCAGTTTTCATTTTCACAGTATCATATAGTCAGTCATTGCAGATGAATTATGAGCATTATGATTCTTCATGATGGTATAAAGAAAATTAGATTAGTACCAAAGACTCCAACAATACATTATTTATTTAAAGTCTAGGAATGCATTCCTTTATTTTGTTTTGTTTTGATCACAATGTATTTTTTTTTCCTTTATGAATAGGCCTTGCCAAATGGATTGTATAATTTGTGCTTTTGTGGTACTGACATTATATACACACAGAAGAGAGAAATGCTGGATCTAGTAGCATCAGCGGTAGCAAAATATGGGCTATGTCCAGTGATGGGCAAGCAGAATTTTATTGTGCAATGAGATTTTCTCTCCAAAAATGTGTGACACCTGTTTTCACCCACCAGATAAAAAATAAATAGGAAGATGAGAGGGGGAAAATTTGTTACATTGACAGAAGCCATTTTGTCACCAAACATAATTGGATTACAATCAATAGGCTGTGCAGTTGCTATGTATGTTTTATCACCCAGTAAGAGGGCAGAAGTACATAGTTTTTGGATACAAATTTAAAAAGGAACTATAAGTTTGTGTCAAAGTTATATATTTCTCAAATACCTAATGTTTTTACATCATATGATGGATATTTTGTTGCCCAAAGGAAGAAGAGAAAGATACTGACATGCCAGGAACTTCCACTAGAAAGAGGAAGGTAACTTTTGTTTTAAATCTGATTTCTGATTTGATAATGTGCATTTGACAAAGTATGGCTCTGTTCGCATAACATAAATGACCCAGCCATTCCCTATCCTAGTCATTTGACTATCTTTATGTGCTAAGAGCACAGTACATAATAGCATTGGGAGTGACCTCAGAAGTTAATCCTTGCTCAGTGTGACTCAGAAGCATTGTAACAGATGGCTATCCAGCCTCTGCCTGATGAAATGCCTAACAGAGCTTGGGAACACAGAAGAGGCAGCAAGACTGTTAACAGAGAAAACAGGGCCGTTACAGAAGAGATTCTTGAGTCCAGGGGAGGATAGAAGTGTGAAATAGAGACTCAGAGTAACTCTGCCTTAATTATACTAGCTATAAGTTGTGTAAGAGAGTTGCTTTAATAAGCTTTCAAGATCCTAGTTTATTATCCTATTAGCGTTAAAGATATTCTCAGAAATCCAAGTGGTTCTTGCTTTCTGAGCTTGCTGGCCTTGCGGAGCTTGATGTTTCTTTTTGAAGATGCCCAGTAAGGCAACCTATTCTACTGGTTCATAACTCTTATAGTCAAGATATTCCCCCTGATATCTAGCCTGAATCTAATTCTCTGTAGTTTCAGTCCATTGGTTCTGGTCCTGCCCTCTGGGGCAACAGAGAATAGCATGTTTGCTAACTGAAGACTGCTGTTGTATCTCTCAGTCTTCCTGTCTTTAGACTAAACATAGTTCCTTTAATCATCCCTCCTAGGATCTGGTTTCTAGTCTCCTCATAATCTTGGTAGCTGTTCTCTGAAATTGCTCAAATGTGTTGATGTCTCTTTTATGCAGAACCTGACACACTATCCCAAGAGGGACATAACCAAGGAATAGTAGAGTGGGACAGTCTGTAATCTGGACCCTGTGCTGCTTTTAATACAATCCAAAATAGCATTTCCCATTTTAGCAACTGTATCACACTTTTGGTTCATGTTCAACTTGTGAACCACTAAAATATGTAGATCTTTTTCACATGGACCACATGTCCATCCTATATTTCTGCCTTTGATTTTTTTCTCCCCAGATGCAAGATTTTACTTTTCTTCTTATTTGAATTTCATCCATTTTAGCCCAGTGTTCAGTCTGGTCTTTTTGAACCTTCTCTTTTTCTTCTAGGCTGTTAGCCACTCCTCCCAGTGTTATATAATCTGCGGATTTAATAATCATCCCCTGAATTCTTCTATCTAAGTTATTAACAAGATGGGTGGTGACAAATTTGATAAATAAATAAAAAATAAAAAAAATAAAAATTTTAAAAACCATGGGTCTCTGGCATTCTCCTCAATACTACAATCTGATGTGGAACTACTTACAAATACTTGGTAATCATGAGACAAGGTATCTCAAGTCAGTTTTCCGGCAACCAAGTTTTTAGTCATTTATCTGCTGTAAAGGAGGTTGGGAGGCTGTCACTTTAAAGAAGAAATGTGTGATGAGTCAGCACCACGATGGAGAAATTTTCCAGACACTCTAGGCCTGAAACTCAAAGGCAGGTTTTTACGGTATCCCCAAAGAATTTGTCTCATTCAGAAGGGACAGCTGTGTAATAAATAGTTCACATGACATGGGGAGAGTTAGTAAAACTACAAATAAGGCTGAGTCTATTTTAAGCTAAATCTAACCTCTTCTGATTTAACTGGCTGAGTCAGCTCACTTTGGAATCTGCATGACGTACATCCCCACTCCCTGTCTATGCATCTGTGTCTCTTCCTATCTGGTCATATTTATGTGTGTTTTAATCATTATAAAGACTATTTAATTGTTATACTATTCCCCAAATGATAAGTTGGAATCTCAGCAAGGGAATGTATAACAAGAGATAGCAGCAAAACATAACAAAATCTATTTGAAATTATCATTACAGGATCATCAGCCAAAGAGAAGGCTGCGTAACAGAGCTCAGTCATATGATATTCAGGCATGGAAGAGACAGTGTCAGGAGTTGTTAAATCTGATTTTTCAGTGTGAAGATTCTGAACCTTTTCGCCAACCAGTGGATCTTCTTGAATATCCAGTGAGTACTGCAAATAATTAGCATTATACTGAAACATTCCCCTTAATAACCTGAAGTAAAATGGCTATCCAAATTTTTAAAGTAATCAACAGATATTTAAATTTGAAGAATTATTAGGTCTTTTACAGGTGGATTTTGCTCTTGGACTTGCATTAAAGATTTGTGATTTTTACAAAATATTTACAATAATAGTATAATCTTATATTTTTGGTATTAATTATTATTTACACTTTTTTAAAAAGGATTACAGAGACATTATTGATACACCAATGGATTTTGCAACAGTTCGAGAAACGTTAGAAGCAGGAAATTATGAATCGCCAATGGAGCTGTGTAAAGATGTCAGACTGATCTTCAGCAATTCCAAAGTTTATACACCATGCAAAAGATCAAGAGTATGGCTTCACAGTTTATGCCTAAAATGTATTAATATTACACTATGGGGGTGTGTTTATTCCTGGAAATGTATTTGATGTGGATATTAGGAGTGTAGAGAAGTTCTGCAATCATGTTTGGATTCTTCTAGGGATATTTGGATCTGACGTGATACCAGGTTCTAGAGCAATATTTGGAAAAATAAAACTTCATCCTTTCATAATCTAGCACAGGAAAAACACATTGCAAAAAGCTAGAGACAAGGGATGAAGCATACCAAATTCCATAGAAATTAATGCATATGATGTTAATTGTTTTGCAATAGATTTTGATGAAATTTGCAATGATACTAATCATTTTGGAGGAAAAATTGTACAGAGATAGAATGGAGAAAAATGCTATTGCTATAGAATGTGATCCTTCCCAGAATATTGTAGGTTTTCTGGAGAGTTGAGTCAGAAACTGAATTATTATCAGTCTTACTTTTTCATTATCAATTGATGAACATGATACTGTGAAAATAATGGATAATACTACATGACGTTCTGCCTGTGATTAAATGCTTCTGCCAGAGTTCTACTGTCAGAAGAATGGGCAGTCACTTACCAAAGATGAAAAACCAGGAAATCATATGAATAGAGTAAGAGAAAAGCAACTTTTCATCTTTTAGATCCAAATGATCACCTCTGATAGTTAAAACGGAAATGTCTTCCTTCTTGTGAAGATTTCTTTTTAACTTCCAGAATCTGGAACAGTATTCTGCTCAGATATTCTTAAATTAGATAGTGGTAGTTTCTGAGTCTAGTTTTCCAGTTCAGCCACATTATGTGTGCTTATATTCACCCATTCTCTGAAACTGCATTGCTTCATTAACTTTATCTTCAATGCTGAATTCATCTAAATCAGAGTAATTAATATGTATGAAGTTACTTCTGAATTTTAGGTATCAAAAAAATTAAACCTGTGATTAGGTCAGGTGAGCTGCTTAATACAATATAGTAAAAACAGTCATGCAACTGCTCAGAATGATTGTCATTAATAAAGCAAAACCACATGGAGCATATGTTAAAGTACTAAGGATCTGTCAACCCCAAAACTTCTTCATATTCCAAGATACTGTGATTAGGTTGACCAAGATGGCCAGTATCATTCTGAAGTATTTCCTTTGCTGTTGTAATAAAGCAAATATGTATTAGTCTTAGGTTGACTTGTTGATGCTCTTAATTGCATTTTTGCTTTCTTTTTGATGGTGTGAATTTATGACAATTTAGAAATAAATATTAGGTAAACAAAAGAGATTAAAAACCAGTTAACTTCCTTCGTTGCATTTTCCAATATGGTCAAGAACATTTGTTTTATTAGCTTATTTTTAGCACAACTTAGAAAGTGTTTAGGTCAAAATACTGAAGTATGCAGGAATGCTTCACATTGAAATGTTACAGCCCTGAAATGCTCTGTTCTGATCTGAGATGACAGTTAACTCTGTCAAAAATTATCCAAACTCAGATGAGCTACTGCAACTGTAAAATAGGTCAGATTGGTCGTTCTTGGCTTCTGGCACTGTCAGAATGAAGTTCAAACACTACATTTGGGGTTGTAGTGGGACATTTCAGGGTGAGAATGTTTTGAGCTTGGAACATATTGCACATATCTAATTATTAATGTTTACTTGAATCATTTTACATTAATTCCTTTATACAAAATTATTCTATATACTAGAGTACTGTAGCATTTTCATTTATTTTAGCATGTCAGAGTTGAATGCAATGCTGACTGAAGTACGAGCATTTGAACAAGAAAATAGGGCAAGGCTTAGTATATGTGTATTTTATTTATGAAATTTCTATCTCACCTTTTCATTATTGAAAACATTCTGACAACTTCTATTGGATTGAATTATATTGTGAGGATTGTGAGGATGTTTGTAAGGGTCTCTTGAGGATGTCATATGATATGGATAAGATCACCCTGTTTTGCTATCTGTGTGCATGGAAGTTGGGGGCAGGCAGTAGAGAACAAGGAACTCTTGAACTCAATTTTCCATGCACAAATATGCCCATTTGGTCTTTTTTGATGTATGCATCAATTATAAATGAATTTTATAGGCAGAAATTAAAATTGTATGCAACTGTTTAAGATTTATATCATTATTACTTGTTTAATTTTTTAAATAGATTTACAGTATGAGCCTGCGCCTGTCTGCTTTCTTTGAGGAACACATTAGTTCAATTTTATCAGACTACAAATCTGCCTTACGCTTTCATAAAAGAAGCACAATTCAAAAGAGAAGGAATAAAAGAAGTAGAAGCAGTTCTCTTTCAAGTAGTGCTGCATCAAGGTATGATACAATTCTTTCAGTTGTATCTGAATTGTCTCAGTATTTTTAATACTTATTTCTGTAAGCCCTATATATTGCATAAAAAAAGTGATGTCATTTTACTTTCTTGAGCAAATTCAGGGCTACCTCCTATTCTCCTTCTCTAGTTATTTAGGTACTACTATCGTAGTAGAGACTTTGAAGGAGAGAAGGGGATCTTTCTTCTTAGCAATTAAGCATGCTTTCATACCACAACCAGCATTTCTGTCCATTGACTAGCTAAAAGCTCAAATATACAGACACTGTTGTAAATACATTTAGGATGATTGAGTAGCAGAGTTCAATGAGAAGATGGAATTGTTTTGAAGTTGTTCCAAGTGATAAAAGATAATTTTCAATCTTAGCAGCATCAGAAGGGTAAAAGGCTACATGATAGAAAGAGCTTAGCCTGATATCTTAAGCTTATGAATTACATTCCAGGGAACCCTCCTTAGAGCATTCCAGTGACAGGGAATGACAACGGAGATGATTCTTTCTAGTTGCTGTTACCTACCTTGCAATAGCAGGAACATCCAAAAAGGATGGATTTTTTTGGACAAACTTAATTCTAAGCAAGATATGGGACAGTCCTTTATATACTTAGGACTTGGACCTTTCAGATATCTGAGAGCATTTTGAATTCTAAGGGAAAAATTAGAAGAGGGTAAACTAGACCACATCTAAATTAAATCTTCACTGGAGTTGCTCATGGATGAACTTAGTTGATGACCAAGGCATATTATTAATATTAATAAATACATATTGTTTTTATTTTACTCTATAAAATAGCATCAGTTATTGGACTTGTCATCTATTTTTAGTCCGGATAGGAAACGAAGATTAATAAAACCGCAGCTGAAAGCTGAGCCCGCTACCGCACCTTCTTCTTCTGCACCTGCACGTTCAACGTTATTGAGAAACATAGCAGCTCAGATGAATGGAAAAGTAGTTGACTCTGCGACTTTGGTCCGAACAAGGAGTACTAGGGCAATAACAGAAACGACTATCAATGAACAACCTTCCACTTCTTCAGGTGGAAAGCCTATAACTTTGAAACCTAGTAGTACTGTTACATCAGGGAAAACAGGTAAACTAATTGATTACATAATTTTAATTCTAAATTTGCATTACCATGATTTCCATTGTAGAATCAGCATTTTTAGCACATGGATATATTCATGATACTCAGTTACAAGGGAGTTTTTCTTGGAGATGGTAACCTTCTTAGAGAAGCTCATCAGGAGCCTCTTTAAAATAGTTTTGGTTGGGACATTTATTTACCTAGACTGCCGCTATTGTTGCTGTTGTTACTAGTTATTTGTTAAGGGCTTTATTTTTTCTTAAATTGCTCCCAAAAATCTGAGCCTGAAATATATGTTAAACATATAATGTAATATATTTTTGTGCTACTAATGCTTTCTCTATGGGTTAAAAAGATTTTATGTTTGGTTTGTTTGATACTGTATTTCCTCTAGTTAGAGAACATGGATTATATAGACTATAAAGATATACCAAAATAGTACAATACATTAAAGATATGCAGTATTTGGACCTGAAGTGACAGGTGCTTCTGATCTGTCATGGGCACCCTCACTGTACCCGTTGTCAGTTTCTGAAAGGAGATGTTTTTCTGAGCTTGCACAGTAGCTCAGGAAAATATACATTTGAATTAAGGAGGCACTAACACCCTGTCATTGCCTCCACATATCTCCTGAACTCAAATGATTTCATGAACTTGCACAGCTACTAAATGAGCTCAGGAAAAGGCATAGCTTCTTTAAGGAGCTGCCCACAGGTACAGCTAGAATGCTAGATTCGAAGCACCTTTGTTCACTTGGGATCCAAATTCTACATTCTATCACAATACATAAATAAAAAAAGTGTAATTACGTAAAGTGTGAAGCTTTAGTAAAACTTATGAAAAGAGGATGAACAGGTAAAATAACAGCTCACTTTGTATACATTTTGTACATATTCCAAACTGAAAATATTAATTTATTAGGGAGCAGGTATATATTAGAACCTAATGAAGACTTTTCCTCTTTTTTTTTTTTTTTTGTCTAATAGTACTAGAAAATTCCACCAAACATTCCAAGAACCAGAATGTTTTATCAGTCCCTAATCAAACCAGTTATATTCATAACACTAGGAATAATACTGCAAGAGAAAATTTAGAAAAAGATAAACAAATTAAACGTAAACCAAAATCAGTTATGGTCAGTCCACAAGGTAAGTTTGTTTGAATTTTTTTGGTTTGATTATTATTTGTTTACTTATAATATCTATAATTTCTCTGGTACTTTATGCATTTATTTACTGAGCTTTACATGCCACTCCAGTTGAAAATGACTGTGTAGCATACAACTTTTAAGTCCAGTGTACAAATTAAAAAATATAGTAACAAAATGCAACAACACCCAGACTGAAAGGAGAAATACCACAAAATGGTGCTCTCCTCTCCCAGGCCTTTGCAGGTGATCCAGAAGGATACATGATCAATTACGACAAAGGCCACCAAGACATCCAGAGTCATACTGTCCATTTCTGTCCTGACACAGGTCATCCACAAAAGCAATCAGTATTACCTTGGTTATGTAACAGCCTGAAAACTAATTGAAAAGGGTCCAGATAGTCTATTTCCTTCAGGGCCTTTTGTAGCTGCAGTCTTACTGCATTCTCAGTAATCTCCAAAAAGGGGAGGTTGTCAGCCTTGCCAGGTAGACCAGACAGGAAACATGAGCAGATAAGCTAATTCTACTTTATTGTAAAGCTACATTAACAGAATCCTGCAAGTCTGAAAGTACAATTCTCCCTGTTTTCTTTACAGCCTGAGAAATGGGGGGGGGGGTCCCTTTTGAGCCTCTTGCTCCACCCACTATTGAGCTGCGAGCTATGCTGTCTCTTGTCTGACCATTCCCTAGGCAGCATCTCTTCGCCCCATCTCCCAGGGTCTTTCCCACATACCATTGCAGGCTGGAGATCAGCCAGTAGTTGTCCAGAGTGACTGGATCAAGTCATGACTTTTTGAGGAGGGTATTCACCACTGCCCTTTTTCAAAGAGAAGCAGTACCATCTCCTTTCTCAAGGATTCATTAACTGCCACTCTGACCCAGCCTCCCGTTACCTCCTGGAAGTTTTCACCAACCAGAAAAGACAGGGATTCAGATCACAGGTGGCAAAATTGATGCTCCAAAGAATCCTGTCCACTTCCTCAGGATCAACAGGTTCAAGCTACTCCCAGATCTTTTTGCAAGACATGGTCTCAGTCACCTACAAAGGATTTGCAAAATGAACCTAGTTATGAAAAAATTTATCCTCTACGTGCCTGACAGATTCTTCACCATGACGTAATAAAGTTTTCTTTTGGACAATTCTTCCCTAAAAGGGATTGGGTTGTTTTGAAAAGGGCCGCTAGGCAGCAATCTCTGGACACAGTAAGAGTGGAGAAATATTGACATTTTTCCATTCTTATCACCATGAAATAGGCTTGAACATGAGTTTTTAACAGTTTTAGTCATATTTTTCCTATCTTATGCCTGTGGCATTCTAACTGCCCCCTCTCCTGCTTCATCAACTAGAGTTCCTTGGTGAACCAAGGAGCTGTCATGGATTGAAGAACAGGGAGAGGCCACTCAGGTCTAATCTGGTCAAGAACAACAGTCACTTCAGTATTTCAGAGGTCAACCAAGGTGTCAACAGAACTGCCCACCAGGTCATCTGAGAACTCCCCAAGTGTCTTCTGGAAGCCAAACATATCCATCAGATGCCTGGGGCCAACTGGCTGGATATATCAATTCCTCTTGTGGAGGTTGGTGGCACCAGTCTGCTCCATAGTAAACAGTGTGATCTGACCGTGACCAGGGACAAATGTTAATGTCTCCCAACATCAAATTACTTATCTGCTCCAAAGTAAAAACCAGATCATATGTGTGGCCTCCTATATGCTCCAGATTCATTATGACTTGGGAGAAGCCCATAGTTAGGGTGAACATGAACTCATGAGCTGTCTCTGACCCTTCCTCCCAAAAGCACTTTAAAATCCCCCAGAACCTGGGGGCTCCACTGCCAACTGAGCAGTGAGGTCAAGCTGCTGAGGCAAGGATGCTGCTATGCAGCAGGGGAGATAATATAACAGCAGCTGCCCCAATTTGTTCCTTGAGCCAAACTTTAGAAACAAAGCCTCACATCTGGTTATCTGTGAAGCAGTGTCTCTGATTGTCTGCAGAACCTTTTGCATGAGAGTAGCCATGCCTCTTACCCTACCCTGATACCAAATCCAAAATTAGGTGGGCACATTTCCAACAGAAGGATTTCCTGCTTTACAACCTCCCAGGTCTTAGTAATTCAAGCCAAGTCTTCCCTCTTATCGTCCATAAGTTCAAGGATGAAGATAAATTTGTTACAGAGAGCCTTGGCATTTGGCTCTGTTAACCTGGCTCCTGAGATCCAGAAGGAGGGATTGGTCTTAGATATCCAATCCCCCTTCTTTGAGTGCAGCCTGCGCCTACCTCCCTTCATATCTCTTTCTGCCCATCACTGCCCTGATCTTCATTCCTTCCACTCTTTCCTCTTCAGGGTTACCTAATGGGCTCCTCATTGAATATCCTCCCTCTTTGCCTCTGTTACTCTCTATTAGATACAGATCTTTCACAATTCCCAGATCCCTCAAGGGGCTGCTCTTGACACTATTACTCAGCAACCATATTGACTTTCAGCTGTTTCTCTCCACTTACTCTGCCTCAGCCTAAAACTCCAAACACACTCCAGTCCACCAGTTTTCCCATCAAATCTTGCTCTCACCTGGGCCTGGATTCTCCAGAAACTGTTCAGCCCCCCCTTCTTACCCAGAACAAGGCATTCCTATTTTTTCTCCCTCCTGTCAAATACAACAGCTCTATTCTTTTCCAAACTTTTTTTCCAATATTCTGTCTTGTCCCAAGCACAGTTCTTCCTCCTAATATTCTCAGATACAATTCCCACCAGCAGTCCCTGAAGCACCCTCCATCACACTTCATCATCAACCCTTCTCTCCTCCTCCTCCTTGAAAGTGACAGCAGCTCAGCCATTGTCATGACATAGGACTCAGGCAAGTGTCCAAATGTTTGACCTCCTCCTGCTGCCTGTATTGACTTGCTGTGGGATGACCCTGAGAAAGCAGTTAACATTGTCTTGACTAATCTTCTATCTTGTTGTCTCCTGGGTACTGCAAAACAACTCTCCCCATCTACTAAACTGAACATGTCATTCCACCAGAGATGATGCTTCTTTTTTTTCCCTTACTTCTACTACTCTCCAACACCCCCCCCCCAAAAACAATTATTACTTCACTTCTGGCATCCATCAGCTCCTTCAGCTGGTTGGACACCACCACTACAGAAATCCAAGGTTCCACTAGATCCACTAGTGTTCCCAACCACTGTCTCTGCCATGTGGTTTCCATTTTTCTCTCATTTCTCCACTTTTCTTTGCAATAACTCTTCTCCATTCTCCACCCCAACAAAACAACTCTTCCCATCTACTAAACTGAACATGTCATTCCACCAGAGATGATGCTTCTTTTTTTTCCCTTACTTCTACTACCCTCCAACCCCCCCCCCCAAAAACAATTATTACTTCATTGGTCCATGTTAACAAAGAAGTAAAAAGAACCCTAAAACATAGTTCTTTTACAGAATAAAACAGTTTTCTGTCAAATGTTAGCACATCAGCTTAAAATTATTACTGAATCATAAATACACCAAGTTTAGAATAATAATGATAAATTTTTAATAAGCTATTAAAACAAGCAAGAAAAATGAGTTCTACATGAGAAAATTGAAAATGTTTAATAGCTTTTATTTCATGCTCAGGTGACTAGTTTCCTGAAACAATAAATATTTATTTATTTATTTGTCTATCAAATTTGTCACCACCCATTTCATTAAACGATTCTGGGCGGTTAACAAAAACAATTAAAATCAATTAAAATTACAAAATTACAATAATAAATACAAAATAAAAAGATCCAAAATAATTGGTGATCACTCAGGGAACATAATTGAGGTGCTAGCCACCCCTAGGATTGGGTAGAGTTATTATCCCCCCATACAAGCTGGCAGAGCCAGGTCTTCAATTTTTTCTGGAAGGCCAGTAGTGTAGGGGCCTGCCCCACCTCTGGGGGGAGAATGTTCCAAAGGGCAGGAGCAACGGCAGAGAAGGCTCTCTTCCTGGGCCACGCGAGTTGACATTCTCTTGCTCATGGGACCCACAGCATGCCCTCTCTGCCTGACTGGGTGGGACGGGTTGATGTGACGGGGGTAAGATGGTCCCTCAGGTAACCTGGAGCCATGCCATGTAGGGATTTAAAGGTGATAACCACACTTTGAATTGGACCCAGAAGCAGACTGGGACCCAGTGCAGCTTGCGTAGTAAAAGTGTTATATGCACCATTCTTGGGGCACTCAAAATTATCCATGCTGCCACATTTTAGACCAGCTGTAGATTTTGGATACTCTTCAAAGGTAGCCCCATGTAGAGCACATTGCAATAATCTAGCTAAGAGATTACCAGAGCATGAGTGACTGACTGGAGAGCCTCCTGATCCAGGAAGGGGCATAACTAGCATACCACATGAAGGTGGGCAAAGGCTCTCCTGGCCACGACTGCCACCTGCTCCTCAAGCAGGAGTTGTGAGTCCAGGAGGATCCCCAGATATGCATCCAGGGCAGTGCATCCCTGTCCAAAACCACAGATGGTAAATCCTTGGATACAGAGGGGCCTCTATCCATAGCCACTCTGTTTTACCAGGGTTCAGCTGAAGCCTGTTGCACCCCATCTAGACCCCCACAGCCTCCAGGCACCGCAAAAGGGTGGTCATGGCATCACTCACCTCACCCAAGATGGAGATGTATAACTGGGTATCATCAGCATATTGATGATACTTCATCCCATGGTGATGGACAATCTCAGTCAGTGGTTTCACGTAGATGTTAAAAAGGAGCGGAGAGAGTACTGAACCCTGGGGCACCCCACAAAGGAGGGGCTGCAAGCTGGACCTCTCGCCCCCAATCAACACCGATTGGGATTGACCTCGGAGGAAGCAAGAGAACCAGTGCAAAACTCTGCTGCCCACTCCCAGCTCCCCAAGTTGACCCAAAAGGATATCATGGTCAGTGGTATCGAAAGCCGCTGAGAGGTCATTATAATTTCATTTAAATATTTCTAGAACATAAAATATCTATTTTTATAACTCTGGCATATGATGTTGAAAAACATATCACATTAGTAAAAAGTAATGAATATGTTTTCATTTTCTCAGCTTTTCATTTACATTTGATAGTCTGTTTCACAGTATACTTATTCACTATCTGCATTTGGAGTTTAGCAGCTTGATCACTCCAGTTCTATATTTTAACTGTTAATTTAATTAAGGCTTTGCAAGTTCTCTGTGCAGAGAAAATGGCTGATATAAGTCACTTACATGTCACTCTGTTATAGCAGATTGCAAGAATAATGCAATGGCTTTGGCCTTGGGAAGCATCCAAGTAAATGGACATGGGGAGCAATCTTCAAAACCTATGTTTAAGAGGGGCCCTGGACGGAAACCCAAGATTGAGACCAACAGTAGGTGTGAAGTGGTACACAAGAAAAGAGGGAGAAAACCAAAAACCCTGTTACTTGCTCAACAGAAACATTCAGAGGAGCATACAATCCAGACTACAAAAGATTTGACAATAGAAGAAGCCTCTGTTTCCACCGCATGCAATTCTGTCTCTGAAAATAATGTGAAGGAAGACTTGTTACAAAGAAAAGGGCGTGGTGGCAGAAAACCTAAAAGAAAGCCACAGGCACAACAGCCAGGATTCGAACTTACTTTTTCTGCTGATCCTAAGATTCAGACAAGAAGCAGGAGGAAAAAGACAGATGGGCCTATTGAAGAAGAGACTGATGAATTTAAAGATTCTGAACCTCATATGAGAACTAGAAACCAAGGTAGGAGGACAGCCTTTTACAATGAAGATGATTCAGAGGAAGAACAAAGACAGCTGTTGTTTGAAGACACTTCTTTGACTTTTGGAACATCTAGCAGAGGCAGAGTCCGAAAGTTGACTGAAAAAGCAAAGGCTAATCTGATTGGTTGGTAATTTTGGCATTTAAAAATGCTAATGAATACGTACAGTTGAGGAATTCATAGACCTAAGGATATCTGCTTTCTGCTGCTATTTACAGATGAGAATATGTTCTAATATGATAAAATATAGACAAAAACAAACTGAAAATTTCTTTGAAAGAAGTATGTATTTTAAACAATTGCTATTTATTGTTCTCCAGATAGGTTATGCATTTCAATTCAGTATGTTCAGTTGGTATAAATGAAATTCTTGATTTCCAGAAATGTTACTGTAATTTTGAGCAGTACATAACCTCTATTTGAATAGTAGAATTTTTAATGTAAAGACTGAGAACAGAACTCCTATTTTTGAATGAGCAAGGTACAGTACATTTGTATAGATTGTAGTAACTGTATTTGCAAGATGATAGAATATGGCAGTAAATGCCATAGAGAACAAATCAAAATTACCAAATTTGCTAATTAGGTACCATTTATTCAATAGTGATTGGGCACACAGTTTTATACAAACACAGTGCAGATTGTTTTATCTAAGTTCTGCCAGAGAGAGAAATCACATATATAGATATAGAGATAAATATATATATCCACATTGGAAAAAGTTTGACTAATATGTCTAATTTTTCAGACCTTCATTCTCGTACCAATCATATCTCTGTTTATTGTGCCAAAGACTGAGAACCAGAATAGAGAAAAACTTTTAGTATCAGTGCAGCATGATATTTTCAATTATATTTATCACTCCTTGTTCAAAATATACATTATTCTGGAAAATTACCTCTACTGGTACATTGTAATAAAAGCAGTTAATGCACTGGTAGGATCTTTTCACAAATATTGAAACAAAATATAATTTGATTAAAGGGTTCAGTTAAGCTGCAGGAAAAGTGAGATTCTGATGTTTACGTTATGATCAGATTGATTGTTTCTACGAATTGTGTTAAACTGACTAAAATTATTTTCAAAATAAGTGTATGTGTATGTATATATTGAGTATATACACAAGCACATAAACATAAAATTACCCAGGTATAATTTTCTTTCAGGACTTTTTAGATTGCTCTAGAATATTAAAATTTTTAAATGTCAAACTTTAAGGGGAAGATTGGTTGTTTTCCATTATTAAAGATTAAAAGGCCAAATCACTTTTTATGCAATCATGTTTTATACAGTGTTCTCATTGCACATTGTTTTTCTGCACTTTTTACAGTATGCTTAACCAAGCTGACATGAGTCAATATATCCACCCTAAAGGAAAATCCCACTTTATGATTGTGCCTTGTATTCTATTATTTTGTGCATCTTTAGTAACCTTAAGTTGTCTATTGTAAATGATGACTGTATGACTTAGGGGAATGTATTGCTGTATGTACTGCTATGGGGGAAAAAAAACTAGTTATTTATTTGTTTATGGTACATTTACTTATTTTATACCTTTTAAACCTTAATACAATTTTTATTGTTTAAAATCATAGTCCAATTAAAAATACATAGTAAAACAGTTGTATGGTACAAAAATGTAACCACGCTTTTACTTTAACATTCTTGCAGGAAATGGGACATGTGCAAAATATGGCAATTTAATTTTGCTTGATTTTATTTGGAAATACATTCTCTAGAAATGCAGATGTACAGCAGTGTGTTGCCTGTTCCAAAGATGCTTGGTATGGTCAACTTTTGACAGTACAATTTGAAGAATAAGGAACTGAATCTAGGCTTCTATGTTTCCACCAAATTCAGTGTTTTATCCCTCCAAATAGATTATTGGCACTACCAAAGATTGTGGTATTGATCATCTGCTTGATCTTACATGCAGTTGGAGAACTGTAGGTAGTTTTAGTCATCAGGGCCAAATCTGCAACAGCCTTTTGTGCAAAGGAAATTTCAATTAAGTACAATTCAGCACAGATACATGAAAGTTGCTTGCTTGGAATGCTAACGTATCTAATATTCATCTTGAACCTCAGCCAGTTATGTGGCAACTCAATTTTAAAATAATATTTTTGATTTAACCACAAAAACTTAGAAGTGTAATTTTTTCACATTCTTTTTAGCTAATCATCTTTATAAGAATTCTTTAGGAAATGTGCATCATGTAAGAACTTGTTTCCCTAACTTAAAAAGTAATAACCATTATCATATGGCATTTTTAAAAAGTCTCATACAGAGCTTCATATTTCCAAATTGTGATGTTTTGGGCAATCTTCATATTATACTGGCACAGGTCTCTTTGTATATTTATTTTCATTAATGTTTTAAAGAATCGCACATGCATATTTTAATACTGATTTTTAAGGGGGTTGGGCTTTTCTACATTTTTTAAAAAACAAAACCTATATTCTTGGTAAAATTGGAGGCATTAAACATGAAAGTATGGCAAGTTATCCACAGAGACAACTTGTTTCACAGATCACAATGAAAACATTGATTTTAATTGTCCATTTTAAGATTCTGTTGCAGAAGGCAGGCAATTTAAATTATCTGATTTTCTGATATTATCCACACTGTAATATAATAGAAATTTCAGACCAAACAGGAAATTATTGATGTAGTTGCATTTATCATTAGGTCCTACTTGGCATGTTTATGTTGGTATAATTTTGGGGAGTAGAATAGTACATATAACCATCACAGGATCTGAAAAGTATACTTTTACAAATAACAAAAATGAAAGTCTTATTTGTAACACATAAATATTTCCCTTTCCTGAAGAATTTATTGCAGTAGTAAGAGGTCCTACTGACTTTATTTTTTTCTAATATTATTTGGAAATTTTGTTCAAAAAATAGTATCTACAGTACTGTAGCTCTGCTACTTTCCCTAAATAAGAGTAAGATTGCCTTGACTTGACTTCAGTTACTTTAACTGATTTGGTTTGACTGATTTGCAAGATTCTTACTGTACCAACAAAAACATTTTTCATTTAGCACATATATAAGCAATAGTTGATGGTTCAGTAACTTGTGATGATCTATAATAAAATGTATTACAGATTATATTATCTTTAGGAAAATATATTTATTTCTTGGCTCATTTACATACAAATATGTACATACCATTTCTCTTGGTAATTATGGATATTCATACAAGTGATTATCTTACAGACTTGACGGTAATAAAAGCAAATGTTCAATATAACCTGATACAGCTTCTGATACGGCATGGACCATTAGTTTCAAAATGCTAGCCATTCAATTATTTCAGTGTTAACTAATGGTTAATACGCTGTGGTGTCTAATAGAAAAGCATTCCGCATTCATTGGGAAATAACTTTTTTTCACTTAAAAAAATGGCAAACCTCCAAATTTAATAGTGAAACATTGGCTAGCAGGCTTGAGTTTTGTTTCCCAGCAATTAAATTATAGTGATAACCAGCCTAATACTGGATATCGAACAGTCACTATTGTTGGTGAGAAGTAATGAAGCTTGGAAAGAATTTGTCTTCCTATAATGAATTGATTGCTCTAAGGTACATTTGCACACAAGGTTTTGTACCATACTGTCAATTTTATCAGTGAATATTTCTTTGAAGTATCTTTGAATTAAACATTCTTTTACAGTCATGCTACATGTATTACATATCAGCTTTTAAATGGGCGTTTATATGTGTATATACACACCAAAATAGGTCACGTGCTATAATACAAATGTTCTCGAAGTACCAACTTAGGGTTTCAGTTACACAAGCTTTAGTATGTCTGAAATAATTTTACAAAAGACCCCATCAAAGCCCCTTTCCCAAGGCTCTTGGGTTTTGCTTTCTGGAAAGAGAGCTGGTTCCAGTGTGCTAAAGATGATGTCACCTCTGCTCTGACATAAACCCTCTTCTCCTTTGTGTACTGCATCCAATGAAGGTTTAGGGCACAATCCAGTCCACTTCGCATTTCCATTTTACATCAAGTGGCATACAGAGGCATATGCCCTGATCCACTCCCCCCCCCCATCTGCAAAACTCCCACAAGTGAACAGTTCAGTTGTGGGAGTGCTGCATAGGTGTAACAGGAACCGACTGGATCGGACATTTATTCTACATTTTTAGGTATCTGTTCATCTTGCACTTCAATATAATTGGACCTAAGGATTCATCTGATAAAAGGGCTGTTCAGTTTCTACTGTAAATAATGTACATATATGTTTATATTTTAAAAAGATGTACATATATGATGGCCAAGTCTGAAAATCATTTCTAATATAAATCACTGGTATTGCATTTTTAATGTGTTACCTTTACATAATTTGTATTTAAGTTACAATTGGATATAGAAAAACTTTTACATTTTTCATGTTTTTGTTTTTGGTTCAGAACTCTTTGAAGAGAACTTTAATTTTAGAAAGGTTGAAAGTTAAAATCTAACATTATTGTAAACTTTTTAAAGTGCTGGTGTTGGTTTATTAGTGGTTTTTGTTGTGCAAGGGTAACTAAGGTATTGAATTTGCCTGTTGTGTATGGTTCAGAACAGTTTCCACTAGTGGAAGAGTTTCTACATTTCTGGATGGGATATGATGGGATACAACTCAATACAGATTTTAAAAAATCCAAATGGGATAGGGTGAAGTTTGAAGATACTAATGGCATTACTTGTGGAGTTACAAAAGCCAAGCCCCAAATCTGTTCTAAAATGTATAATTTTAGGAGCCATTTCTGTTAAACAAAAAGAAATTAAGCAATGGCTTTTTTTTTTTTTTTTTGGCATAGGTAGGAAATACTGGGTTTTTAACAACTTAAATACAAATAAACACATCAAGAAACTGTGCTGTGATAGAAAATAAATTGTTGACAAAATGCTTGCTCTAGAAATTTTTACATATGAAATATTTGCACAGAATTTGTACACTTGCACAGATGGCATTTAACATGTACATATCAGACACACCCCTAAAGAAACAAGTTGTCACACATTATGTTACATTTTTGGACCATTACTGCAAAAATCTGAAAAATTTAAACCTGAAAAATCAGTAAACAGGATTTTTTTTTTTTTGGAAGTAAAACTTTTGTCACTTAAAATGTGAAATATATAAAGTAGAACAATTTAAGGAAATTGTCTTGGAACATTTAGTTTTAAAACTGACACGTTTAAAGCTATGCTTATTTTGTACAATATGTAAATCCCAAATATGTTTTATAACACCTTTAGGTTTTCTCAAGGTTAATTTCCCCTAGAAATCTCCTTAATCATGTTATAAAGTGCAGTCTCTCACCTGGATGAACAGTGCCCTTTCTTTTTGTATATATTGATTGAAACTTTTATTGTTATGTGAAACACCTATGTTGGTTTTGATGAATAATACTTGGAATCCTTTTATACAAACTAGAATGTATGTGTAAGAATTACTGTCACTGCAATGTAGTAACAAACCTATTTTTAAATAAATAGAAAACTCGTTTTTCTAAGTTGTGTTGATTTCTGTCATTAATGAAATTCTTGCAGGAGGAATAGAATCCAGATTTTGCAAAAACAGAATTGTACTGACAGTGGAAGAATCAGAGTAAAAAATTTTCCCCTTCATGCTGCAGACCTAGCTAGCACCACCACCGCCTCCACTACTTTGATGGAGTTTGAAAAATGAAAAATGTAAAAGGGAACAACATCCAGAGAGGGTTTAAAAAAAAAAAAAAAGATGGTAGCCGTGACTGAAACCTCGGCATTTTGCAACACCCATCACATGCACAATGCACTTTTAAAAAGGGTGGGGCTTTGATCACTGTCACCATCTTGACTTTAACACTCTCCCTCTGCTCCCTATGGAGCCCCTGAATGGGAGATTCCCCCAGAACAATGTGAGTGGTAATGCTATTAGATTGAATGGGAAAATTGAGGGAACCACTCTGCCTCTGCTGTTACTTTAATTCTGTCTGAGCAGTCTGCTGGAGGGACAAATGTGAGTCCAATCTATATTATTTCTCATTATTCCTCTTTTATATAAAAGTATACACATCAATAGGTGTAACTTTTTCACAGAAACGCTAATACAGTGTATTAATTTAACTGCTAAATAACCCAGCCATAGGAGATTAGAAATAAGTAATTCCAAATACATTTGTTTCTGTAGGTTTGTAGAGTTTTCTTGTGTTGGATACTACCAAATGAAGAAAAAAAAAAAGGAAAGGAAAATTCCACACAAGCCAAAAGGAGGAAAATTGCACTTGCTGTTAAGTTTTTTAGGTTCTAGGTATTCCTTAGAACTTTACTTACCTAACTGAACAAGTTTAAATCTTAAAACTTGCCAACAGAGTAACACAATAAAATCTAGCCTGCACACAGTACAATATTGTTTTGTAATATTTTTTTGAGTCGAGTTTTGCTAATTACTGTATAATCACACCCATTTTGTTTTCTTGGCAAAAATACAAAGTGTCTGCCATTGCCGCCTTATAATAATCTTTGTATTTCTTTTCTCCAATAATTAGAGTTTGGAAGATTCAGGACTTTTCATTATTGCAATTCAATGTAACTTTTGAAAACAATTGTTTTTACTTTTCTCAGCTTTATTCTATGAACTAATACTTTTCTGTGGTACCACCATAGTATGGATGATACAGACTGATGTTAATAATCCAAGAGCCAATATACTTTCAAGAAATTACAATTTGCCTGCCAGGTGAGTTTTGAAAGGATTATTGGTTGTGGAATATGAATTCAAGTTTTCCTATTCAGTTCCATCCTTAGTATAACTCTACGAATAGTCCAATTAGTTGGGCTGTTTCAGGAATTTTCCTGTTGAGGCTTTTTTTTGGTACTTCCCTAAAGTACAATCTCCCAACAGCTGAGTTTCCACTACATGCTAAGCCAAAAGCAAACTACCTTCTGGATTGGTGCAACATATATTTTAGCAATGTTCAGACATTTTCCTGAACAAAGTGCACTGGAAATATGTAAGGAGCAAATCATGCCTGTAATACGTCCTGAGGTTCAGGGTCTTCTATAATAGACATCTGTACATTCAGCATATGAAGATTCTTTTCAATCTTAGCACAACTGGAAGCCCTGTCACAATTGTGTGGGTGCCTGTAAATACTTTCATTTGAAGATCTTAAAAATCCTGCTAAAAATGTTTCTATTGAGTGGAAGAGTCTAAGTAATTGTACAAAATTAATTTTTCCAAGATAATTATTTTTTTCCCATTAAAAAGTGGGGGGCATTAATCTAAAACTATGGATATGGAAGAATTTGGCTATCCAGGCTTTCCCATCCATAGAATATCTACTTTTCTTGCTCCTGGCTCAGAAACTATCAAACAGCACAGAACAGTTCCTACCCTCAAAATCACTGGAAAAATCTAAAATTTGTTCAGTATGAGCAGAAGCTTCATCTGTGAGTCACAAACTACATAATACAAATACACATCTGGAGTTTTTCTTATATGGAGAACTTGGGGAACAATGTTTCTTTTATTAGGCACTATAGGTTTACATATGCTGAGCCAAGATACTTAAACATGGCTTGCTAAATGAGTCATAATGGCCTGACTCACACTGTATTCAACATTATTTTTCAGACTAAGGCAGTTCTAGAATATTCTCTATACCATTTTTATTACTTTAGTTGCACCCAGGAAGTTTATCATATCTAACAACAAATAATCATTCGTGAAGGCAAAATATTCCATGCTTCAATAATCCCCCTCCCCAATTTTGCAAATACAACTCAATTTCCTGGATTATGGTAAATTGTGATTAAGGAAACTACCATAAAATTATGCAAATTAATCTACAGATTATCTTTTTACTGAGCCAACTGGATTGACATTAAGCAAAATCTATTAATTACTAGTATGTGTTCCCTTCTCCTCTTCAGTGTGTTAAGTCAAATACACCAACACAATTTGGTGGCCCAGTGTAAAGAGGTTAACCAATCTGGTTTTGGTTATAAGGCATTAAGAAAAACAGACTCCTTAACATTGCCTTGAACAAAGCCTAATTGTAAACAATTTCCAACTTAGCGATAAGAAACCACAATGAAGTTGTTGTACAAATATTTTATTTAAAAAGCAGATTGCTTTCGATTCAACCCAGGTGTGTGGACTACTGCGTGAATAATGCCTGCCTTGTTAATTTTTAGGTCTGAGGATAAATGTATATACACAAAAGCACTCCAGGCTGTTGTATAATAGATAACTCAGAATATGCCTTTTAGATAAGCCAGTTTTCTCAGGAGCTGTAATAACTAATACTCTAAAAAGGAGGAACCAACTGACAAGGGAAGGACTGCAAGGTAGTTCTACCTACATTTGCCTTGCTGAGCAACAGAACAAGTCGTTACTTCAAAATCATGCTCAATGAACATGTTCTTGCACTGTATTCTAATGATAACTATATAAAGCTTTCCATTAATTTTAGATACAGTCTGAGTAACTATGACTTAACATTAACATTGTAGAAATATAATCGGTATGTGTTTTCTAAAACTGGCAGGGATCCAAATTTTTCACCCTATTCAGTAGAAGGAGTTTCCACTTACAGTTCAACTGTAATTTTAATTTTAAGTCTACAGAAAATCAAGTAGAGCTTCCTGAGTACATTCTTCTTCATAAAGGAAAAAAAAAACCCTAATTAATGGTTTCAGAAGTTAATTAGTTCACTTTTATAAGAGCAGCCCTTTTTCTCTTCTTCTCTCCCTTTATTTCAAAAATAGCAAATACTCTTGAAGAAATATAGATGGTGGCACTTTGGAGTTTCTGCTGAAAACTCAACAAATCTGAAGAATTGGCTGTATGATCTTCAAGGTGACCTTCCCACTCCTTCACCTCTTCCTCCTTGATTAGCAAAGGCTTTCCTAGGAAGTGTCCAAACAATTGGCAAACTTCTTGAGCTTTTTGCCAAGCACTTCTAACAGCAGAAACACATACCTGCCTCCTGAAAAGAAACAACAGCAAGATTTAGTAACAAAGTGAATATGTCCTTATTTAAATTGCAATTTTATGCTTTATCAAACTCATAATTCAATGAGATTTATTTTCAGGTAAAGTGAAATCCAACTACAGCCTCAAGATACATATTAACTCCAGTATCACACAGTTGCACATATAGGCACATAATTACACACATTTTCAGTACCACATAGTTACAAGTTTTCCCTTAATAATATTTGTTTAAAAAGAACTCTGAAAGAAAGCCAAAATAATTTTAGGAACCAAACTTGCCTTTTTCCTTACTTATTCCTTGTAAACTATGATAATTGTATAGCTGAAGGAAAGGCTATTTTACTACTGTTCTCCATACACCATCCTGGAAACATGAAGCACAGATTAAAACTACCAATTCCATTTTTTTTTTATTGTTATTCTGACTGTTTCCTTAATTTACCGTATTTCTCCGACTATAAGACGATACTTTTTTCTAAAATCCTTACCCTAAAAATTGAAGGGCGTCTTATTCAAGGAAGTCAGCGGAGGAGAGAACCGTGCGGTTGCAAAACTGCCCATACTTTGTTTCTGCAAAGAGGCTTCCTCCTATTGCTCCAATCACGAGTGAAATAGCTTGTCTCCCAAACAGACTTCCTCCAATCACGAGCCTCCAATCATGAGTGAAATAGCTTGTCTCCCAAACAGACTTCCTCCAATCACAAGCCTCCAATCATGAGTGAAATAGCTTGTCTCCCAAACAGACTTCCTCCAATCA